GCAAATCATGCAATAAATCACACACAGGGGAAACAGGCCGGGCATTTCACATCCGAAAAAAGGAACACCAAAAGGAATGCGAAAAGGAAACGTCAGGGAGACTCACCAGAACACAAAAAGACAAAGCAGAACAGGAAAACCTAAAATCCGCCATATCAGACACTGTAAAAGGAACAACCGCATTATGGATCAGGACGAGACTCGGATCATTGGATCGGAAAACAACAAGTTCAAACGCTGGATCAAGGAGGACATTGAAATCAGGAAACGAGGCACGGACAGCATTAACCGTGATGACGGCGCGTTCCTCCTTTCACACACCTGGGACACCCTCCTCCAGAGACACCGGGCGACGGGAGGCGTGGTCAGTCTGAGCCACCTGCAGGTCCATCAGGTCTGACCACGCCCACAGGAAGTAACAACAGCTGATATACGACACGTCACCACCAACACCGGTGACAGTTCTGAAGATGCAGCAGCCGAAACATGTCAACAAGGTAAACACACTTTACTGCATTGTCTTTAAAAAGAACCTAAGAAGTTAAAGTATATAAGAAGACAAAATGAACATCATTGGCTTAAGTGCGACTTATATATGTTTTTTTTCTTCCTCATTGCGCATTTTTTGGCTGTTGCAACTTATACTCCAGAGCAACTTAGATTCATAATTATCACAAATATAAAAACACTTATTTGCCCTCTTTTACAAAACCATTAAAGTAACAATGTGCTCCTGCCAGAGTGTTAGAATTGTACTTCACATTACTCCAGATACAAAATAAATAACTGCAAAATGTTTTAGTCACGTTCAAATAACAAATTAACTTAAATTCCTTCTTCTGCACACTTGGCTATAACCATTTCTTTATATCTTAGTTTAAACATTTTCATATTTGAGCATTTTTTGAGCTCATCACTCTGAGTTCCAGATTTTAATCCCACAAACTGAAATACAAAAACTTTTCCTCTGGCCATTTTAAAGAGATGCATTCCTCTTAAATTATAAGTACTTTCTCTTTCAGTAAAGTGTTAAAGTGAATATTTTTGGTAGTTCTTTCCTTTTTGCAGTTTGGAAGCTTATCAGACCCTTAAGTTTTAAAATTTTCAAAGTGATAACAACAAAACACAGCCGCAGTAGGAGACAGTTTGGAGCATCTAAAGGGAAAATAACACAAGTCCAATCAACATTTTAATTGTCAGAAAATAAAAGTTATCCACACACAGGAAGGATCACACTCGGGTTTCTGAAATGTTGCCTGAGTTTTCAAGCAAGAAGTCTGAGATAGCAGGAGATAGAGATATGAATGCAGAATTATTCTTTAAACACGAAAATAACTGTAATTCTGATCAACTAATTCAGAAATTACTGGTAATTGACTGAATTAATATGATCCTATATTTATTAGGGGAGTAACGGTACAAAAATCACAGTTCAGTACAGACCTCGGTTTTGTCGTCACGGTTTGGTTCATTTATTCAGTTGGTCGACTGTTTGTCCACTGATCTGAAGGTTGGCAGTTTGAATCCCGCTCTCGACATAAACATCATGGGTTGAGCGTTCAGATTCACTGACCCACAGGTTGGCAGGTGGGATTCCAGCTCCCACAGACGAATGCTGTTGTGGTGTCCTTGGGCAAGACACTTAACCCTCCTCGCAGTGTCTGTGTAAACTGGTGTGTGTGTGAATGTGTGTGTGCTCCTTGTTGTAAAGTGCTTCGAGTGCCTTGAAGGGGGAAAGGGCGATAGAAAAATGTGACCATTTACCAACAAAATGTTAAACCATTTGCATGTTTGTTTATTTGTGTTTTTATTAAATCAACAATTTGCTTTAATATTATACAAACGGGGAAAATAAAATAAATGCAAAGTGCTGCTTGGTCAATACTAATAAGTTACATAAAATATTCTCAAATAAGCAACAATTGTATGAAATATAAAAAATAAATTCCTTGTAAACAGAAAACAAAACTTTTCAAAAGTTCCAGCATGAAGTTTTACTCAATATTCATATTTTTGGCTTGAATAAACAACTTGTCAAAGGTGAGAGTGAGGACCGCTGCGCGACGATTGTAGTTTTGTGAGGATTCATGTGGTTCAGAGGGGCTTAGTTTTCCAGGCTGGCGCCACCTAGTGCCTCCACTCAATTTCATTTCTCTCCAGCGACTAGATCGGGAATCAGAATACACTAGACGGTTCGCAAAAACCCCGGAAGTGTGAGTTCGGCCACCAGCCAATCAGAGAAGAGACAGACATTCTGTGTTGTCGACGATTCCCGAGATTGAGGATTTAAAGCCGGAATAAAGAGAATGTTTGGTGAATTTTATCAAGGGGAAAGACGTTATTGTTCTTCTTCCTATGGGATTTGGGAAAAGCTTAATATACCAGTTAGCCCCGTTAGCGCCGCAGTACATACATCACGACCATAGAGCAGTGATTGGTTAAATTTAAAAAAAGTACCCGCTGTCGAGCGAACGAAATCCAACGCTGCGAGGTGAGACAGTTTCTACAAAGTGAAACGAAGTAAAACCGGCTGATAAATCAGGCTAGGGCATAATCAAGACGGGGGGGCAATTGCTGTCAAGAAGGTCGCCCTAACTATAAAGCGTGGCGGGAAACACTGCCCCAATCACGGACGAGTTCCTTTGTGAATATTAAAGATTCAAGCCTCCGTGTAGCTGCACATGTAGTGGTGGAATATAAACACACACAAATTGCACAAATTCAATCCTGCACGGCTCTGCACCGAACTGAAAGTCCTGTACTGAAACTGTTCGGCATGAATACGCCGTTATACTCCTAATATTTAGTTGAATTCCCTGTGGACAGTGTCATATTTGGGGCCTGGGATACAGAGCTTTGACCTCAGTGGAGACCAGTTCATGTGAGGTTCTTTAAATCTACTCTGACGTAACTATGACGCCCACTCACAAATGTGACAATGCTCTTCATAACATTGAGTGCGTATACATGCACATCAATAACCTGGTTATTAGCCATATCCCGGTTATGTCAGTATTCGTGTTACTGCGTTTACATGAGCACTGAGAAACCGGGACACTCATATCCGCGTGTACATGATCAAATGGAGTATCCTGGTTTCTTGACATAATCTTACAAATGCGCAGGCGCAAAAATTAACTTAAATCAATTTCATAAACCAGGAAAAATACAAACCGTGAGCTCCTTTAGCATAAGAAGCTAAGGAGCTACGAGATTTCCCACAATCCACTGTGCAGATTCTTCATTAAAATCTTCTGCATAAATAAACTCAACTTTACAACATATAAACCATAAACACTATAGACACATCAGCCTGTTTGATCAGATAATTCAGCTCTGATCACATTTGTTTACGTTTTACAGAAACGAAACTTAAGACTGTAGGCTAATTAGCATAAACTGTTAGCGGCGATAAAAACAACTCGCTCCTTGCGCCGCTGATGCGATCAGTTTCTTTTGGACTAAATGACACGACTCTGTGGATTATGTGTGTTATTTCTGTGACAGAAGAGGCGCTAATGATGGTGAGTCTGTTCTGTGCGTGTGTTGTATAGGAGATAGTTCATGTTTTAGCTTTTCAGCGTCACACGAGTGCAGGTCGTACGAGTGCAGATTGTACTGTGTGCAGGTTTAGCGCAGCTCTTAATTTTACAGTCATTTCACTCGTTTGGTCACTTTATTTATGTTGGTCAATTTATTTATGTGACTACTGTTGTGGTGAAAGGCTGGAAAGTGTCTTTTGGACGCATGCGACTCAACTTTATGTTGCAGTAACCGGGATACTGCGTTTACATGCCACAAGTATCCCGGTTACTATCGGAATAAACCAGCTACAGTAACCCGGTTTCTAATAACCGGGATACTGCCATAACCGGGTTACTGAAACCGGGTTACTGCGTTTACATGCACCATCAAGAAACCGGGATACTCAAAAAACCTGATCATAACCGGGTTAATGATGTGCATGTATACACACTCACTATCTTGAGAACTTTTTTCAGTTTAAAGAGTTCTATTATTGATAAAGGATTACACACATAATACTGTCTCCTACCTGCCTCAATCTCAGCCAAACAATACAGGGACATAGGAGGATGGGAGGGCATCTGACACACACGGACATGAAACGATGGGAGGGCATTTGACACTGTTGGTATTTCCGTGTCAAAGCGATTCATTCTTGTCGCTTAAGCGTAAACTGTTATTGATTTACCATTAGACCCATAACACACTGATCCATTTCTCTCGTCACAATTGAATTTCCATCTGAAACATTTGACTTGACTTTTCAAATATTAGAATAATTTAACGTCTAAAAAGGTGAGCTCGTTATGATCATTATCACTGCTAAAAATGTTTTCTCAAAGCTTCCCCATTGATTAGAAGTAAGTCTGAATTGGTTGTTAAACGTTGCAGAGATGGAGCGCTGTGATTGGTCGATTGGACACAGGGGGCGGGGCTGAGGGCTCTTGAAGGCTCCTGATTGGACGAGGCTTTATAACGATAATCAGACTGGGATTGTAAAGAGGGAAATCGCTAGTTAAGTGGAGTTTTTTGAAGGACTGTTGTGGAACTTTTCTGGTGGAGGGTCCGTCACCTGCTTGTTTCTATGGATACGTCATTGCTCTGCCCGGAATGTTCCACAGTGTGACATTAAACAGCTCTAGAATTACAGGTGGTTTTATAGTTCAAAAATACCTAGTTTACATGAGATCTTTAATTCCAAATAAATAAATAAAATTAATTCTGCTTTTAAAAGACCATGGAAACACTTAATTCCTAATAAAACTGATTAATCGGAATTAAACTACCACTACTACGCTTTGGAGATGTAGACAGACTAATAATAAAGAGTTACTCAATAAAAAAGCACAACTCCAGGTCTGTTTTTGAGGAGGGAACAACATTAATAACATGACTTAAAGTTCACAAGAGTCAATTTTGCGTAATATAAGACTTTTAATAATATATATTTTTCTTATTGGCTTGTTTTTTTGCAG